ACGTGACGAGTTCACCTGCTGACAGCAATGTGCATGTCAGATTTATTTCCTGAGATGCATGGATAAGCAATTTAATACTTTTGCTCGCCCTGTTGCGTTATGGAAATAAGAACTACTGTAAAAGTACTTCAACAATAGGAAAACGATGCAGGTGGCTTGAAACTTCACCCTTTGACCTATGCGTTCCCATGGCATTTCACTCCGCGGCTCTCTCATCATTAAATGGCCGAAGCGACGGCCGCGTGTCTCTAGCGGGGGAGAATCGCGAATATTAAAAGAAGATAGAAGAGGAATAGAACGTCTCCATCTACTTGATGCACGAAAGAAATGAAAAACGCTTCACGGCCAAGCGCTCATGGTGAAAAGCTAAAACTGAATTTCCGTTGGTGTCGTTTTCGTGTGCGTGGCTGCTCGGGCTGAAGAGATAGTAGAGTTGAAATCCACTTACTGCCTGTACAACTGATGACAAGGGCCACTCGTTCCCCTCTTTCAAGGAAAATCGGACCTCCGCAACGGAGTTTCATAATAAAAAAGCAGATTGTCTATATTTCGCGAACAATGCGGAAAACTAAACTTTTAAAACAAATTTATGAAACAATTACTATTTTGCAGTTATAGCCAACCATTCTTTCTTTAGAATTCTCAATCACAGTCGTGCTCAGGCACCCCCACAGCATATTCATATCGGAATATCTTATCTGCTCCATCAGAAAACGAGATTTGTTCCTTCCCCCCCCCCCCCCCCCCCCCCCCCTCGCCCTCCCCTTTGGCCCAAGAGCCAGTGAGTCTGCGGGGAGGGGAGACAACGTTCCGAAGGGGAGACAACTCTCTGACATCCATGAAACGCCGAGGCCCTTGATATTTTTTTCAGGGAGGGTACTGCGCCGCCTTAAGCCCTTAAGCCTATCTGTTACCAGAAAGCGCAAAGTGATAGCCAGATGTTCTGGAATGGATAAGGCGTCTCGCATGACAGTATCTTGCTTCCTAAGACTTGGATGTACCTGGAACATATCCACAAGAGTGGCGGAGTTCTCGAACTTCACTATTATTCCTTTGTGAAAAGATGGCATATATGCGACGAGGAGGTCCTTCATCAGGGAGTGGAGTGCCCTTTCATTTCCCTAATCGCAATCTAAGGTCTCACACACCACTTTCTGGCATTCACTTGGTTCCTCCGCTCCTTTGTTTTAGAATTAAAAGGGAAACCAAAGCAAACGCGCATTCGGATGTCGCCATGTCGACAGCAGACGAAGAATCCTTCGTGATTGGTCGCTCTAGATCCGCATAGCCCATCTCATTGCTTGCAGATTGCTAGAGTGTGCAGAGTCTCATCTGCGAAATGGTGGAGCAACATAAAATTGTCTCGTGTGTTGTGGGCTTTACGCTGCCTTAATCCTTATTTGTTTTTACCATGGAGGCGTCGATAACTTCTCTCCTTGAAATTAAATTCAGGGAAAAGTGATTTACACCTATCTGAAGCTACTTTCATAGTCAAGAATGTTGCTTTATCGATATTCATAACAATAACCTGTCAATACTTGGTGGGCAAACTTCTAATGGACATCAGTTATCTTCTTCAGTTATCCACACTTCGATGGGAAATTTGTGGGGATCGGTGAACCCTATAATTTTACGGTGTTAAGTTGTACTATGAACGGGGAGGTGGAGGAGGTGCTCAATAGAGCCCGTTTTGACGGGCTATATGGACGTACATAATAAAAATTTCCAACTCTTGTCACAACTTTATTAATGCTTTTCAATCAACAGTACTGGTAGTGGCTTTTTATGATGGAGGCGAATGGATTTCGTAGCAATGGTGTTTAGGTTTCGCCGAACGCCTGAAGTGTCTGAATCCATCATTCTCCTACATAACACTGACAGCTAGAAGACCCATTTCGTTCTTATTCGGATTTCGTAAATTGCGTCCAAAATACGAGTAGATGCCTGGGAATATTCACAGCACTATAGGTTAGTACAAGGCCAGATAACATGGGAATAATTATTTTCTATTCTAGGAGAATACAGAAGAAATCAATAGGAAGATCGACACGTTGGTGTCCGGCCGTCATGAGGATAACAAACTTCTTCTCGAAGTAAGTCGGAAGTTTTATTCAAAAGTCATCCTTTTTTTTTGCACAATTCCCCTTCAAGGAATTAAAGCGTTTTTGCTGGTTGGATAGACAGTGTATTTTACTCAGAACCTCCCTGATTGTTGATAGCGCATGAATAATACTGTTATCGTTGTATGTACTGATACATTTGGAAAATAATAATAAAATTTGAAATCATAAACCCAAATCAAAAGTGTGGCAAACTCACTATGGTGTGGCTTGCAATAATATATTTTGCTATTTCATTTCTGGGTTTTCTACCAGATGATGAAGAAGATCGAGAGCTACCATACAGCTTTGGCGGAATCCAGAGAGATAGAAGCAAAGGTGAGTAAAGAATGCTCCTTGTTTATCACTTCTGGTTCCTTCCCAGGTAGCACATAACATTGATTCAACGTTGATTTGGTGTGGATCGAATGTTTCACTGTTGAAGGTTTATACTTCTATGTTGAATCAACATTGATTCAACTCGGTGGCCATCATCGTTTATACACACACATTGACTCAACATTGAATCAATGCTGCACTATTCCCGGTGTAAGTGTCGACATTAAATCAGCCTCGA